GGCCAGTCGGCTTTTAAATCATTCCATTTAGTAGAAGGGTTTATTTGAAAGGATGACGGATTTATTTGAAGTTCGATATAAATTGGAAAATGATCTGATCCCAATGTGTCTGGTAATACCTCCCAATTGAATAAGTCTGCATAACGAGGAGCAGTAACAGTTAAGTCTATTGCCGTTTGTGTGCCGCTTGGGGAAATTCTAGTTGGGGTGCCGTCATTTAATGTAACTAAATCAAGGTTATCTAATGCATTATAGAGAATCCTACCATTTGGATCTTCCGGAATTGGGCCCCAAGAGGGGTGATGTGCATTATAATCTCCACAAAAAATTGTTTTATTAGTGAATTGTCCGAACAATTTTTCCCAGTCTTGCTGAGTGACTTTGACATCTGGAGGTTTGTATATAGAAAGTATTGTTAAGTTTGCACAGTTAATATCTATTGCACATGCTTCGATTCCTTTATTAAATGTTTTATTTATTTTTCGTTCTTTGTAATCTATACCTTTAACAACAAATATACCAACACCCCCGTAACCATCATTTCTACAATTCTGTATAAAGTTATATCCTTTTATAAAAAAATTGGAATTGGGTTTGAGCCATATTTCTGATACAACAATTATATCACAAGAGTTTTGTTCAATAAAATTCAAAAGACTGCATTTATTAGCGTTAATTGAATGACAATTCCACTGTAATATATTCAACTTATTTTTAGTGTGATAGGTCGTCGTCATCACTTATTGGTATTATATTATAATCACTTACACTACTATTGTTGATATTTTTATCTATTTGATAGAAAAGTTCACTAATGTAGTCTTTTATATGTTCATTATTTAAAGGTTTAGTGTTTTTTATCGCTTCAATAATAAAACTGGAAATATTCATTATTAGTTTTTCTTTAAATAACATGAAGTCATCTCTATAAGGATTTGGGAGGATTGAAGAGGGAGTGCGAGCTATTTTTCTTTTTTGATATGATGGGGCTTCTTGAGAAGTGGATGGTAAGGGAGACTCGGGCTTCTTTCGTTTGCCTGGTTGGGAGGGTGAGGGTCGGGCATTTAGTTTATATTTAGGTTTAGATACTATGTTTACATTAGTTGCTGTTTGGTTTAGTGGAGGAAGTTCAGGGAAGTTTTCTAAATTATTTAAAATTGCAAAACGATTTTTCGTAGATATTTTTGCGTATGATGGGTTGTTATAGATCATTTCTGCGTCTTTGAAAGAGACGTTTTCAAAAGCCATTATTTCTTTGATTTTATATTGTTTTTTGTAATGGGGACATTCTCTTGAAATGGAGGAGTGTTCGGAGTTAGTACAATGAATACAATAATTTTCTGTTGTACAAGGGACACTGTCATCGTGTTCTTGTGAGCATTTACCGCAACGTGTTTTACCTTTGCACTGAGTTTTAACATGACCATAGCGTAAACAATTCAAACATTGCACTACTGGGTGTATATACGGTTCCACTGGAAAATTGACCATATTAATTTTTATGCAATCTGGGATTCTATTACCAACAAAAGTTACAACTACCATCTGTCTATTTACATAAAGTACCGATTTGTTTTCATCTACGACTCTGCGCTTTAATCTCCTAACCTCCGCCACTGGCACATTTGAAACAATAGCGTGTTTAATAAATTCTTCCGTGAAAAATGTATCAACCGTTCGTATAATACCTTTTTTATGATTAAAAAATTTTGGGATAAATGCGATCAGATCATTATTTTTAACTAAATAATGATTTATTAATGAATTTGCGACTTTGTAAGATTTAAAAATGACTTTAACTCTCTTTAGACCTACTGATTTGATGTCTATGATATCGTTTTGTAATTCTTTATCTTGTTGCAGATAAAAGCCTATTTTGATTGGAAACAGTCTTCCCAAATTCTTATCTTTATGTTCTAAAAAAACGTTGAATGGACCGATATCATTAAGTTGGTATTTATTATTTAGATCATAACGAAATTCATTATCTTGAGTTGTCTCCTGAATATCTATATTATTATTATTATTTTCCAGTAAGGGCGGCCCGGGACCGCCCCCGTCCTCTGCCATTATTTATTTACTTAATTTACTACTTACCGAATTTTATAAATATTTTAATAAAATAAAGTGAAATACACAAAAACCTGTTTGGATTTTATCTATATATCACACACTGTTCAAAAACACCTGATTCTATCGAAGTCGAATCCGTACTGATAAATAATGTGTAAGTGGAAGATAGTATTTTATAGAATAATAAAATCCAGAAATTTCATTTAATATATCATGGTTTAACATAACTGTTTTAGACCAAAACTGATATAACATAAAATAATCATACAGTTTGTAGATATTAATTGAAAATATATTATGGCAAAATAACAAATATAAAAATTATGTTTATATTGGCCATTAAAAAATACAATTTTATTGTTATGATGTCTTATGCTATCATATTTTATTTTATTTTTAATGAGGTAAAACATCCTAATGTTTGTATATTTGTTAGGTTATACAAGGGATGCTGATCAAAACTATTCAATTTGCAAATATATTTTTATTTATAAATGACTTGTAGCACTGAATACACTACACATTTTACTAAAATAAGGTGGATAATTTAAAGTAAATTAAAGACAAACGTCTAACAACATCCATAGAGCATAGAGGGATATACTATAGGCCTTTTTATTTATTTTTTTTGTCAATAAACGAATATATTTGTCCCGATTTAGACGGGACAGTCCCAATTTTAAACCACTAGTTCCGATTTAACATGTTTAACGAAAAAATATAAATATTTAAATTTTTATGGTTTCGTGACATCCCACTCTTTTATATACATTTTTTGCTCTTAAATGAACCAAACCGTCACTACTGTAAAGAGAATTCGTAGAAATATATCCTTGTTATCGATTTGTCCAGCTTTCCACTTTTCAGAATATGGTCACTTAAAATATATGTATAACAATATATTTTGTAAATCCTAATTGCGTGGGATTTAGTAAATAATTTGATCATGATCAGTAACGTCTAGCACACTATCGTAATTCTCTGATAAGCCAAGAGCTCTATAGTCTCTTGACGATTCGTTGATTTGAGGAAGAGGACATTTTAAAATTCGAAGCCTTTCTAGAGGAATACAATTTTCACGAAAACTTCAACATGTACCTACTAATAATTTTTGTAAGTTACGGATTTATTTTCAAACTTACAAGTACTCATTTCTTTCAAGATTTTCATGTGAAATGTCATATGTCAACGTGAAAACAGTATTTTTAAAGCCAATGAGAATTCAAATTCTTTGGAGAATTTTAATCCTTTCGAAATAAACCAAAAGAAACAGTCTGCGAGTTTTCACTGGTTTTAAAAATACGGTTTTTACGATGACGTATGACATTTCTCATGAAAATCTTGAGAGAAATCACTTTCTCTCTAGTTTGAAAATAACTCCCCAGAAATTGCTGGCCGGTGGAGTTATTGTTGTGACCTCCATGTAAGTGAATACAATGGTTTTCAGATATTTGGCATATTGGTAAAAACTGTAAATATGAGTCGGTGTTGTAAATTACGAATTACGCCAACATTCCTTATGGGAATTGAAGAGTCAACGACTTTTTTCCTAGAAACTCTTATCGCGTCTTATTTCATAATTCTCGTTTACAACATTTTTATGTGAATTATTTACTTGTTAATTAGATCTCTAGGTAGTTAGATGTATTGTTGATGAAATAAAACTTGTAAAATTTTAAAATATTTTTTAAAAAAACTAATTTTGAGACCAGAAAATATTTGTTACGTGTTTTTAAGGCAGTAATATACTTATCCATGTCATTTAAAAAAGTTTCTATACCTTCATAATTTTTTTAAAGACAAATGCTTTTTATATGAAGCTGAAGTAAATTTCTAGAATTTAAGATAACAAAGAGAATATTTATGATTATTTTAAATATAATTTTTGCACCAACCGCAACAAATTCTTTAATTTTTAATTCATCTTTACAAAACCCTAATATCGTTACAACACTCACTCAAAGCACAATTAATATCTCAAATACACATTGTTTACTTTGTAATATATTTAGTTGTGGAATGTTATTTCAGATAATTTCTTCATATAAATATCTATTAGGTTGCTAAAAATACGTTGAGCACAAGTAACCAATGTTTAACTTTTAATATGTACAATATATTTAGTTTGCAAATGACATAAAACTAGAAAAAACTTAAAAATAAAAGTTAATTTAAAATTTTAAAGTGATATTTTTCAGGTTTTAAGGTCGGAGACGTTGGCGTCTCTATTGTTTTCTTGAATTTTTATTCAAATACTGGACAAAAATTTAAATTACAAACAAATCTAACTACAAAATCAAAAACCGGTATAATAATAGAAATTCACAAAACCTAATTAATCTCCTTCATAGAAAAATTATCATATGTTGGCACCAATGGTTGGCGTCATGTTGGTAACTATCTCAAAGTGACTATAAAGCTGATGACAATAGTTGCACCAGGTTGCACCGAGTTGTTTGTACCAGAGTTGCTAAATGTAATAAAATCGTGTAATGAAATGCAACAACTTGTTGCATTGCATTTAAATGCAAATCTAAAGCGTTTTTAACGATTTAACTAATAAATTTAACTAATACTCTCACTAGGAAGTAAGATGAAAATTTTTGCTTCCATACTACGAGGTGAATTCCACAATTATTTTGTGACCTTGAAAGTATCTAGCAGACGTTACCTTCCGCGAAAAGGCAATTGTTGATTGAAGATTTTAATGTAGTATACAAACTCAGCTTTCATACTATAACGTTTCTGCCCAACATTTTTAAGTAACTTGATGACCTATGACCTGTTACATTAAGGTTAATCATATCCAGAAGGTCTTACCTACTATAATTTACACGCAAATGACTAAAATTAAAACTCTATACTATATAACGTATGTCTGACGTATTAAATAATATTTGGGGAAATAAAATTAGTATTGGACTTACCTGAAATAACCATATCTAAATATTTCATTTGAATGATAGCTTCATAGTTCCACTTTCTTTTACATTTCTGGAAATCTTCGACAATTTCATCTCTCAACCTCTTTTGAATTTCTGGATGAATAGCTAATTCGTATGCCGTAAAAGTTATCAGTGAAGATACCGATTCAAAACCAGCAAAAAAGAATATTAGTGCATGTGCAATAATGTCAACATTTGTGATTCCTAAAAAGTAATAGAAACAGTAAACCTATAGACTTTTTATATACATATGCAACATATACATGCCTTGGAGCCTTTGGAAAAAATAATAATTGGCTATGAAATTTAAATGTTTTGGGTTGGTACTTTAGTCACTATAGTGACAAAAGTAATTAACAATTTGAAAAAGTGGGAAATTAATTATACAGGGTGTCTGTAAAAGGTCTTTACAAAAACATACCACATATTTCTTAGACCAAAATAAGTCGATTTAAGTAAAATTACTTTAGTACAAAGTTGCTTCGTTTGGGCTCCAGAGGGCCTTGAAGTTACAATTTTTAAATCGTTTTTCCCATATAAATTTAAAACAGCATATGCGATTTTGCTGAAATTTGGTATATTGGTAGAGCTTTATGTGGCAAAAAATGGTATTAAAATTTTGTCCGATAATAATACATAGGCGTAGAACTTGATTTTTTAAATAATTGCACCTTTAAAAATTCTACGCCAATGGAAGAAAAGGAATTTGAGTATGAAATTTAGATGCGCAACTGATTTAATTTAAAAAAGGTACTCTTGATAAGACTCGATTACTCTCATGGTTTTCGCTAAATTTCTGTTTTAATAATTTAGAGTGTATAGGTTTCACAAAAATATTTATTTACAACAAAATCAAAATAGAGATTTTACAAAAATTGTTTAAAATGTTTACCATTTTCACGCATACAAAGATTTATACGTCGAAGAAAATTAAAATGTATCCTTTCCATAACTTCTTCATCACCTCTAAGATTGTTTATTGCATCTTGAATACGTTGCCAGAGTTGTTCCTCATTTTCTACAGGTTCCCTGTAAACTGTGGATTTCAGATGTCCCCATAAAAAGTAATCCATCGGTGTTAGGTCTGGGGAACGTGGTGGCCAGTTTACAGGTGCGTCATTACCTCTGCCTATCCATTTGTGTGGATATTGTTCATTCAAGTGGTTTCTAACGTTTAAAGAAAAATGTGGTGGAGCTCCATCTTGCATAAACCACATATCTCTCCGAAGTTGGAGGGGTAAATCTTCTAACAATTCTGGCAACGTATTTTGTAGAAAATCCAAATAATTTTCTCCAGTTAATCTTCGTGGAAGTATGACAGAACAACAATGAAATTACCAATTATTCCAGCCCACACATTAATTTTGAATTTGTGCTGAAAATTGTTTACCTTTATTGCATGAGGAGATTTTCAACGGCATATATATGTTCATTATGGGTATTAGGCATACCTCTTCTTGTAAAACCCGCTTCATCGGTAAAGACAACCTTCTTAACAAAGTTTGGATCTCTTTCTCTTTGCATATTAACAAATCGACAAAAACCCAAACGAATTTGAGGATCATGGACTAATAATTCTTGTACTGGCTTCTTATGGTATGGATATAGCAATTGTTTACTAAGCACTTTATGAACGACATCTTTACTTACTCCTAGTTCCCTTCCAATTCGTCTGGTGCTTAATTCTGGATCTTCTTTAACACGTTCTAAAATGTCTTCTTCAACTTCAGGAATCCTTACAAAACGTTCTCTTCCATTATCAACAGTGTTGGGAGCAAAGGAACCGGTCTCCCGAAGACGTCTCTCAACAGCAGCAAAAGTTGGGTGGCTAGGTACACGACGATTTGGAATTCTTTCAGAGTATACCCTGACACTCTCTCGAGTATTTACTTCACAAAATCCTAATGTCAGTAACATATCGGTATATTCTGCATTGGTATATTGTACAGCCATATTAATAAACCACGCATTTGTTTTTTAAATTATTGAGTCAGATAGAACACTTTCAATCGTTAACAAGAGATTAAGTGTTAAAACTTGACAATGTTTTTGTTTAGATGAAACTATGGAAACCAACAATAAATGTTTTTGTATACGTATTGCAGGCAAATAATTAATATTCCTCAAAAAATCGTACATGGCAAGAATCGAGTATTTTTGTTAAAAGTCTCGATTAGAGGTGTTAAAGAAGATATAAAAAAAGTACATTTTTATGTTTTTCATCGTATAAAATTTTGTCCGATAATAATAATAGATAGGCGTAGAACTTGATTTTTTAAATAATTGCACCTTTAAAAATTCTACGCCAATGGCAAAAAAGGGGGTTGAGTATGAAATTTGGATTGGGTACTCATTTACTACAAAAAAGTACCCTTGATAACACTCGATTTACTCTCATGGTTTTGACAAAGTTTGTATTTTAATAATTATTGTTTATGTTCTAAAATTACTAAAATGCAAATTTCGTCAAAACCATGAGAGTAATCGAGTCTTATCAAGAGTACCTTTTTTAAAGTAAATGAGTTGCGCAATCTAAATTTTATACTTAAACTCCTTTTCTTCCATTGGCGTAGAATTTTTAAAGGTGCAATTATTTAAAAAATCAAGTTCTACGCCTATGTATTATTATCATCGGAAAAAATTTTAATACCATTTTTTTGCCACATAAAACTCTGCCATTATACCAAATTTCAGCAAAATCGCATATGCCGTTTTAAATTTATATGGGAAAAACGATTTAAAAATTGTAACTTCAAGGCCCTCTGGAGCCCAAACGAAGCAACTTTGTAGTAAGGTAATTTTACTTAAATCGACTTATTTTGGTCTAAGGAATATGTGGTATGTTTTTGTAAAGACCTTTTACAGACACCCTGTATATTGATACATTATAAGAAAAAATAATTTCCCAAAACAGTTTAACGTGTTTCTAAAATTTTCTGCCAAAAATTGAAACAGAGAGATGCAAGGAGAGCCTACTGTAAAGAAATCAAAGATTTCTCGCGAGCAGCAAAACTTAAAATATATCTCTCAAGAGATTCACACCACAGTATGGGTACGCTAATCAAAGAAGATGGTGTAAAAACTGCAAAGACAATATCTAGCTTATTTTCATTTAAATTGTCAGGACCTGACAATATCTATCCAGCCTTACTTTAGTGGGGTCTGAAAGAAAAAAATACAAGAAAGAGAGGTAGAGAAGAAGAAAAAATTAATGCAATTCTATTATGAGGATGGGACTCAAGTATCATGCGAAGAAAAGCCAACAGCATGTAAGAGCCATTATTAAGGCTACTAAATCTAGTGAAGGGGTACAGCTACTCAAAATGATTTAAAAATTGCGCTGTGGATATGGACAAAGGGATATTCCAATCTAAATTTTTAAATCAGCCTTAAAACAAATTAGTCAAACCTAAGAGCTTTATCAGTTATGTCGTGCGATCACCTGAAGCCGACTCTGTTCTTTATTTATCTTTCCCGCGATGTGGATTTCTAGGACTGGCTATATCGAGACCCGCCTTGAGACTCGAGAAATCGACTCGAATGTTTTCTCTAGCAGTCCGACATGTGGATGAAGAATTTTGAGGAGCGTCTAGACGAGCACTGAATCTTTTCGAACAGGGCTGGATTTACGAGTATATAAATAGCGTATTATTGTTTAGCAGTTCAGTTGAAGTTTATATACAGAAATTTTATTATAAATGTCGAATATAGATAAATTGTTAAATAAATTAGGTGTGTGAATTATAATAGTGCTCAAGTTTAAATAAATTAATTAATAATTGGTGTAAATAAATTTTAAATAAAATGTTTTAAAAGTAAACTATTTTTTAATTAAACAATCGTTATGGTTCCCTTTTACATTACCAACTCTACAAACAGGGTTAATTGATATTTTACTATGGTTATTTTCTCTAATAAATCATAAATCCAGATCCTATTAGGCATTCCAAACAAATCGGTTGCCCGTAGGTAATGACAGGCCACTGACCATTATCCACATACTTTGATTTTCTGTATGTGCCATTATCGGTTATAAAATGGCACACTGTCAATAACATAGAAAGGTATATAGATTAATTACCCATCTTTTTAAAAATAAACAAATACAATGTAGGTAAATATATTCACAAGCTGGAAATTTGTTTTAAAACACATTTTTTCTAAACCGATTCAAATTAGTGGACACTTTCCAGGCAATATGGCCACTCGCAAACGATCCACGTTGAACACTCTACACATACTCGTATATGTATCATTGTTGTCAATGACTACAGGCGATTACTATACAGTGCAAGAAAGAGGTCCGACACGCCCAACATAGGGCGCGGCCATTTTGATGCCTTTACCACAGTTTATAGCTAAAGAATCAGTTCTCTCACTCTGCGTCGGCACTTTTGATCTCAATGTTCCAGTTTATACACTGTGCAACTCGGATAATACAATATATGACAACCGCCTATAATAAAACAGCAGTCTTCTGCGCATCCTGAATTTGTATCCCTGGAGTGGATGTTATTTTGGAACTTTCAACTGGTCCGAGTGAGCTAACTGATTCTTTAGCAATAAACTGTGACTCAAAAAATATTATTCACTGACACTGACGGCAACAAGAAAAATAGTAAAATTATTGCGCCAAGATGGAGGCAACACGTAATGAGGCATCAAAATGGCGAAATTTTCTATCTCCTTTTAAAAGGCACTCAGAAAGCTGCGCAGTTCGACAATTCTCCGTATAGTAAGAGAAAATCAAAGTATGTGACAGGCCCCCAGGATTGCCATATCTAAACAGTAAGTTCCCACTGACAGCATTTTGACAGGTAGTTGGAATGCCTAATTCCTATGACATCGAGTCAATTATATAGGCAGCCAAATAGACTAGAGCTTATGCAATATTTTAAAACTTACCTTTCTCTCCCTTTTGATTTTGTCCATTTTTAGCCTCCAATAAAAGATGTAACATATCTGGACGAACAATTCCCTTTTTTTCACGAAGTTCTAAATTATTTTCGATGAGGTCAATGAAAAACTGACGCGATGGGTTATCAAAGATATATACTTGAGATATCTGAAAAATATTGTAATAAATGACAAGTTTAGGGTTTATGGTAAATTTTTTTAGTTATTTAGAATTCATACATGGATTCATGAATGTTTTAAGTGGCTCTTGTCTAGCAAGAGTCAGTTTTTAATTGGTTTACAGACAACATAATAACATTGGTGTGAGTGTAAGACAGTTAGTCACCCAATAACGTCTGTTTTTTTAATTTTTAACATTGTAATAACTTTTCAATATTGAATGTTAATAGCAGATTAGGAGATAATGTTCACTCATATTCTCTAAGTTTATATGAACCCTGAAACGTCATCAAGAATGTGGAATTTCTGCGAGTACTGTGGAAATATCTCTTAACGACCATAAGTACCATGATTACAAATACCAAAATATACAAAGCCTGCATCTTGGAGATTATAATCATAGATTAGAATTTGGCCGTTGTTATAAATAAAAATTAAATACCTAATGATGTGTTCACAGATCAGGCACATAAAGATAGGAAGCGCAACGACCGCAGCAACTGTAGCGTCATCTATGCGTCTCAGATGTTAACTAAAGATACACGTCGTTTGAAGATACATTAGACGTGGACACTAATGAAGAGTTTGTAAAAATAAATGTCAATCGGTTGAATGTACAACGTCGAATAATGAATTTGAAATTTAAGTTTTGAGTTAATGAAGGTGAACTAAGGGAAATAGTTGTGGTGAATTTTATGTGGAATTTGAGGATAATAACTGAATCGCTGATTGCAGAAAGGGTACAAGTCATGTTTTCGCACATTTTGAGATTTTTACGTGAATCGACAGTTCAACCCAAACCTCATCGTTGTGCGCATATAGGATTCATATTCTGATAAACACCATGTAAAATAATAATTCATTTCAATAACGTTGAGTGCAGAAAAGATCTAAGTCAATTGACTTGTACCCTTTATGCAGTCAATCGGATCGCAAGGTGGCGCTGCTAGTGAAATATCGGTAGCTGTTATTTTAATTTTCTGTCAGTTAGATTATCTTGTCCAGCCATGGAGGACGTAAATAATTTAAAACGTAAAAAAGGGGTAGTTAACTACGGTGGATATAAAAAGAATATTATTAAAAAGTGCCGGTAAGTTTTAGGCGTTATAATAAAACATAATCTATTGAATTTTTTAATTTTTTTTAGTGTTAAAGGCCAAGAGTACGTAAATTATAAAGGTAATGTTTTTCCTGCTAAATCTGTTGGAGACCCATGTAACTGCAGGTTCAAATGCTTGGAAAAGATTACTAATGAGCAGCAGCTAGAGGCATTTGAAAGGTTTTATAATTTAGCTACAAAGGACGAACAGGACTTGTATTTACAGGGATTTGTTCATGTTTCTAGTATCAAAACTCGCCACCCACGAGTACAACAACTTAGGGAGAATAATAAACATAACAGTAGTTTTAAATATTACGTACTGATTAAAACTAAAAAAAAAAATGATTTGTAAAAAGGCATTCTTATCTGTTCACTCCATCAGTAATAAAAGATTACAACGTATTCAGCAGTTGTTACAAGCAGGAGTTACGCCTACAGATAAAAGAGGAAAACAAGTCAGTGGTGAAGATTCGTATTCATTAGCACATAAATTCGTTTCCTGTAAAAACGTCCCATTATTCTTCAAGAGAATATCATTATCTTAGCTCAGAATTGACATTAAGGACCATGTATTCGATTTTCAGAGAAAAATAGCCAGACTCAAAGATTAAGTACGAATACTACAACAGAATTTTTAAGGACTATTTTAATCTGAAGTTTGGTAGGCAGCAGGTCGACGCATGCTGCACTTGTGAGAATCTTTCAATTAAATTTGAGAGTGAGGATCTAAATGAGAATGCTAAAAGAGTTACTATTGCTGAAATGCTCGTGCATAAAAGACGAAGTAAAAAGTTTTACACGGCACTGCAGGAGTCAACAAAGAAAAGCAAAGGGTCTAATAATGTAGTTTGACTATATGCAAAACTTACAGCTTCCAAAAATACCAGTACAGGATTCATTCTATTTAAGACAATTACCAGTAAGCGTTTTTTGCATTCACAACATGAAGACTGACCAAGTTGTTTACTTCATTTATCATGAAAGGCCCTAATGAAGTATGTACCTTCCTTTACCAGTATATAAAGGAATATATACCTGATAGTGTGAGGGAACTGCATCTCTTTAGCGACAATTGTCCTGGTCAAAACAAAAATAACACCCTGATTCGAATGTGCCTGTTCCTGAAAGATTCCGGCAGATTTGATGATATTCAGCAATACTTTCCATTCGAGGATACTCGTTTCTGCCTTGCGATAGAGACTTTGGTAACATTAAAAGAAAGTTAAAAAAAGTCGATCGTGTTTATACCATACGTCAGTATATAGAAATTATAGCATCTTCCAGCAAAAACAGCTATTTCTATTGAAACTTCTTAAAGAGGTACACCAAGAGATAGAAAAGTTGCGTTTAACATAGCAACTTTCATCAGTTTTCCTTCTGCAAGAATGATGGGAAAGGTGCAGTACTTGCCAAAGACTACATTAATGGATTCGAGAAACATACATTTTGTCTAGGACTTTCCAATATTGTAGCTGAACCTAAAGTATTTTGTTACCTAACAGGAAAACTTCCCATAAAATCAGATAAAATGGATCACATAAAGAAATCGGCTAAATATGTGAACGACGTTGAAGGAACAAAAGAATTTTGGGATAATATTTTTAGTTGGCCTATTATAAATTAAAAATATTTGTTCTGTTAATTCAATTTTTTCTTAGTCTGTCTTAATAAAGTGTTTTTTGTCAATTACTCCCTTTCTTTTTGATTCTTCCAATTGATAACAGAAAGGGTACATGTTAGTCAACTTAAAAGGTCTATAGCTTTGTACTGCTTAAAGCAAATATTTTCAATTACCCCTAAAAGGGATAGTGTTTTGATATAGTTTTTACATGCACATTCAGTTTGTTTTTTATAAATTATGCTCCAGTTCAAAAAACAGTTATTTGCACGTATTGCATTGGTAACACATGTCACATAAATAAATTTAACAATCCCAATATAGCGTTCTTTAATTTACCAAAGTAAAATCTAGCCATGTAAGTACCACAAACAGTAGCCAATTTTTGTCACAAAGTATTTATTTATTATTATTTATTGTTTTAGAGCATTAAAATAGCTTCAAAACTTTTGCATAATAAAATTTATTCCTGCAGACTTTTCAGTATTGATTCTATGGTCAATTTTTAAACTCACTGCCAAATTAAAGGCAAGTTTAAGAAATTATTTTATAGTTGAGGGCATTAACCTATTGTCCATGTCTTTGATGTGAGCAACAAGTATGTTTTAGTGTTTTCTGTTAAAGGTTGCCTTAAAATCTACCAATTTTGGGCTTTGCTTGTTTGTAACTCCAAACCATTTTGAATAGCCATAACTCATATGTGCAGAGTTGTTTTTGGCAAATTTTTCTGCCGAGTCTGTTATACTATGATGTTCTTCAGTTACATATTTTAATGCTTGAATGAGATTATTTTGGGTCCAGGAACCGCGATTGGTCGTTCTACCTTTTAATTAAGGCATCCTGCAATAAACCTGATAAATATACGTTGCCCCAGGGTACCCGAATTTAAATTGTTCCGAGCTACCCCAATTTCCAAAACGACGAAAAATAATAAAAATTCTAATAACTTCACTTCTCCTCGAGTAACAAACGAGAACTGTTTCTAGTTTCTTTTTACCCAAAAACCTGTCTATCTTGAGCACATTGGTTGTATTATCGGTCCTAAAAACATTAAATATGGCAATGTCCCGGGCTACCCGATGTCCCAAGCTACCCAATATTTTGATTTTTGAAACTTGATCAGATTGTGCTTCGAATTATGCAACTGTTTTTTCTCATTTAACCAACTTTATATTACCAACGGTTTACGAGACAGCGATATATTTCAATGAAAAAATGGCTACCCTGTATACTTTTTACGTGGAACAGATCTTTAACTTACTTTAGTTGATTGTGGGAAGATAGCAGCCCGAGCCAATTCAAGTGCTTTTTTTAATGAAGAAAAATCTGTTACTTGCGCTCCCATTTTGTAAAACTCATTATTTGGCTCTTCTAAAGAATCGACTTTTACACCAAAAGTTGTTGTTGCTATAACATCATTCGCAAAACGAGTGCAAACATTTTTCATTTCTACCTCGACAATGTCTTGATTTTTTTTCGAAAAATAGTTTACAAAGCTTTCTGCGCAATCATCCATCAAAGTAAACATTGTTTTCAATTTGTTGCTTGTAAAGGAAGGGCTGATAATTGGTCTCATTTCTTTCCATTGTTGTCCTAAAAATATTATTATTTGGAAATATTTTTATTCAAAGGTTGGGATATTTTCTTTTTTATATTTATATAAAATTTGTGGAGCACTTTCGGCAATCAAGCCATCATTGGTACTTTAAAAGAGGGTTAGTAGTTACATCAGACATTACTATTACAACTTGCACAACAGAAATAGAAGGAATGGCTAACATTGCAAACTTGAGTAAAGTTAATTAGCAAATAAATGGAAAAGTTAAAATAAAATAAAAAGTTTTGAAGGTTGAGATTCTTGACGTGTTTCCAATAGACGGTTATTATCCAAAAATGTTCATTAAGTTGGGGTTTATATAGAGCTCGGGACCTACATGTGGACAATGACATGCATATCGCCAGAACATTCTAGCATCCAGTGATGGTTTGTCCTAAGGGGCAAAAGGGCCCGTGGGCGTGACAATAAATAATTAACTACGACTTACCTTCTAACGAAAATAAATTTCTAGCCCATAAAGGATCACTATCAGGTGGTACAAACTGTATGTGGTTAGTAAAGTGATCAAATTCTTTAAGAGTTATTCGTTTTATCAATTTTGGATCCTTTATTAGTAAAAATGGTACATTAAATTGATAATATCCAAAGTACCTAAAAAAACAACAATTCAGTTTTTGACCCATTTGCGCAACGGTTTGCCTAATTAATCACCTGGCAAACAGATAGGGAAAACAACAAAGGATGTTTTCTTTCGATTAAGCCCAATAAAGTAGAACATAGTTTATTTACAAAAAAAAACTTTTATTCATTATTTTTCAAAGTATTTTCCTTTACAGTCAATCCATTTTTACATCCGCGAAAACCATTCTTGAAAACATTTTCTCCAATCTTCTGGCAGTAGTTTGTTTATTTATTTTCCGCTTGACAAAATAATAATAATAATAATAATAATAATAATAATAATAATAATAATAATAATAATAATAATAATAATAATAATAATAATAATAATAATAATAATAATAATAATAATAATAATAATAATAATAATAATAATAATAATAATAATAATAATAATAATAATAATAATAATAATAATAATAATAATAATAATAATAATAATAATAATAATAATAATAATAATAATAATAATAATAATAATAATAATAATAATAATAATAATAATAATAATAATAATAATAATAATAATAATAATAATAATAATAATAATAATAATAATAATAATAATAATAATAATAATAATAATAATAATAATAATAATAATAATAATAATAATAATAATAATAATAATAATAATAATAATAATAATAATAATAATAATAATAATAATAATAATAATAATAATAATAATAATAATAATAATAATAATAATAATAATAATAATAATAATAATAATAATAATAATAATAATAATAATAATAATAATAATAATAATAATAATAATAATAATAATAATAATAATAATAATAATAATAATAATAATAATAATAATAATAATAATAATAATAATAATAATAATAATAATAATAATAATAATAATAATAATAATAATAATAATAATAATAATAATAATAATAATAATAATAATAATAATAATAATAATAATAATAATAATAATAATAATAATAATAATAATAATAATAATAATAATAATAATAATAATAATAATAATAATAATAATAATAATAATAATAATAATAATAATAATAATAATAATAATAATAATAATAATAATAATAATAATAATAATAATAATAATAATAATAATAATAATAATAATAATAATAATAATAATAATAATAATAATAATAATAATAATAATAATAATAATAATAATAATAATAATAATAATAATAATAATAATAATAATAATAATAATAATAATAATAATAATAATAATAATAATAATAATAATAATAATAATAATAATAATAATAATAATAGATAGATATGTTTATTGACTTAATTACATGGTTTTTGTATTTTACGTCACAGTACAATGGTAGTAAACTATTACAGATAAAAATATAATATAAAATATAAGATAAAAATTTAAAAAGACAAATACAAATACAAAATATAAGATAAAAATTTAAAAAGACAAATAAAGTAGATACGAAACAAATACTATTTTGTAAATATAAAAAAGTCTTGAATAGAGTAGAAACAATGCTCCAGTAGGAACTCTTTAACTGTTAAACGGAATTTATTAACATTCATATTTTTAATAGAAACGTTACGATGATAGTTCACAAAGTTGTTATATAAATTATAGTCTGCTTTATTATTTTGGGTGATGTTTATCCGTGAGAAAGGGTTTACAAGATTCTCCCTATTCCTTGTAGCATAATTGTGAATACCCGTGTGTGTGGGGATATGATTTCTATTTTTGTGTATCCATAACAATGATTCCAAAATATATACACAAGGCACTGGAAGGATCCTGTAACCCTTAAACAACGGTTGACAGTGAGTTCCATATGGAGCTCCTCCAATTATCCGTATTGCAGCTTTTTGACAGCTAAAGAGTTTCTGTAGAGCACTTGTCCTACCCCAAAGTATAATTCCGTATGTTAAGTGGCTGTGGACTAGAGCGAAATATACAGTTCTTAAGGCATTTATATCTAAAACCGAACTTAATTGTCTGATAACAAAATTTTGGGATGCTAATTTCCGGCTGAGAGTGTCAGCATGTGCTACCCAGTTCAAGGTTGTGTCAAGTGTAACACCCAACAATTTAACCGGTTTAGATTTAATTGCATGTTTATCCGCGCTAAATAATATTCTTGTAGTTTTACTTTCATTAAGTTTTAACTTGTTGGCAGTGAACCATCTTTTAGCAGTGTCTAGATCGTTCTCACTTGAAGCTGTGTTTCCCCTAGAAAGAAGGGTTGTATCATCAGCGTACAGTATGCAGGTACAAGCGTCGAGTGTTGTTGGTAAATCGTTTATGTAAATTAAAAACAGGATAGGTCCTAGGACTGATCCTTGTGGGACACCGTTTTTAACAGATAAAATCTCTGATTCAATATGTTCATGACTTACATACTGCACCCGCTCGGTCAGATAGGACTTTAGTAAGTCGTAGCTATTGCCCCTTATTCCATAATAGTCCAATTTAATCAGTAACAACTCAATATCAACGCAGTCAAATGCTTTGGTTAGATCACACATAGTGGCATGTGTGTTGTACGTTTGATCAATGCCATCGACTACGTCTTCAATCAAGGCTGTTACCGCATCAATTGTTGATTTTTTTTGCCTGAAGCCAAATTGTGATTGAGAAAATAAATTGTTATTTTCTAAATAGAAAACTAATTTATTTTTAACGATAATCTCAAAAATTTTGGAAATGATAGGGACAATAGTGATAGGGCGGTAATTGTCTATACATTCAATGTCACCCTTCTTAAAGAGTGGCAATACCTTTGAAATTTTTAGTGAATTTGGCCAGTGGCCTTCTTGAAAACATTTATTGATAAGTATAGTAAGTGGCTTGACAAATACTTCAACTGCTGATTTAATCATGCGGCTACTAAGTCCGTAGTGATCAAGGCATGCAGAGTTTTTTAACCTTAGAATAGCGGCACGCATATCACTTTCTAATACAGGTGACAAGAAAAAGGAAAATGAGGGTTTTGGTTGCCTATTTAAATAATCTAATGGGTTAGCACTATCAGTATTTATACTCCCAGAAATAACTTCGGCTATTTGAGAAAAAAATATATTAAATGCATCCGAAGAGAGAGTGGTGGGTTTTTCATTTGACCTTTTAGATTTATTTGAATAATTTACAATCTTCCATATTGTTTTAGGTTTATTATCTGAAGTCTCAATTTCTTCAGCGTATGACTCTCGTTTGGCCTTTACTAATGCTTTACGATATTGTTTCCGTATATGTATAAACTCGCGCCAATCCAAATCTGAATTTGTGAATTTAAATCTTTTTTGCCAAAAAAACATTTCTTTTCTCTTATATTTAAGATCATCATTAAACCAACTTAAACCCTTACAGCGTTTTGAGAAGGTTTTTAAAGGAAAACACTCATTCGCGCATTCGACTAGTGTGTTATGCAAAAGGTCACTCAAGTCTGGTGCATTCATATCTTCATAAACTGATTCATTGCAAATAATTTTAGTTATAAAATCAACAAATTTTTTAATAGTTTTATTAGTGATTGATCTTTTCAAATATTTATTACAGTTATTATCCCCACATACTCCAGTATTAACTGTCGTATATATACCAAGATGATCGGCTATCATCGTATCAATTACACCGGCAGTAAAGTTTTTAGAGTTCAAGTTAGTTATGATATTATCAAGACACGTTTGAGTGGTAGGTGTAATTCTTGTAGGAACGTGAATATTATGCTCTAGTCCAAAGGTCTTTAGACAATTATTAAAATTAAACATACATTCGTCATTACCGTTAAAATCCAAATTAAAGTCACCTAATAAAATAATCTTTTGATATTTCCTAAAAATAAAATCTAACAAATTTAAAAGGCACATTTTAAAAATACTAGGATCTCCAAAACTAGATGATCTATATACAGCCAAAATAAAAATGTTGGTGCCAACAATTTCTGCCCCACAAAACTCAGCATGAATAGGACGACAGAAATCTGTGACCTCGACACTTTTCAGCTGAATCCCGCTTTTGGCATATATTGCGACACCACCATGTTGTCTTATATCCCTGCAATAAAAAGAAACAAGCTGATAATTATCTATATTTACTGTCCTTAAATTAGCATCATTAAGCCAGTGTTCAGACACACATAAAACATCAAAAGAAAAGTTATTTAAAAAAACATGAAGTTCGTTCACTTTATTGCAAAGACTTCGGACATTTACATGCAAAATTGACAATGTTAAATTATTTTTCCGAGTTTGAATGGGATTGATATACAGATTCTCCGTTATTAAGTCTTTTCGACGGAAAAAAATAATTTAATATCACTTTATCTGGCCAGATTTCACTATCCAGTAATTTTTCAGCTTGATTTGGAGGAGCTGATATATTAAAAGACGAATACATATTTGGATTTCTTGAATTCAACTTAAAAACAGTAACATCTGGAGCATAGTTTTTGAGATAACGTTCAAGTTCCTTAACATCTACGTCCACTTCCATGTTGGTTACATGATAATGTCGCATGACATTCTTTGGAGCAGCTTTGAAAGGGCACTTATTCGTGGAACTGCCGTTGCCTATTAATATATTCTTTGGTTTTGTTGTTCTTTGCAGTGTGTCATTCTGGATATTTATGAAATTATCACAGAGTTGCTTGGTAGTTATTGATTCTAAAGCTGCATTAACTTCTTGGACTTGAATAGGCTTTTTATTAGGTTGGCAAGTGACGTTAGGTGTTTTTAGCATCGGTTGTCTTGGAGGGCCATTGGTAAATTTACTTTGTTGTTTAGGTAGTATCTGCTGGATATGTTCTTGAGCATTAAACATGTGGTTGACCTTTTTCATTAGGTCAATCTGATCATTTAGCGACTTGATTGCGATATCCTGATATTTAATTATATCGTCCTTTTCTTTCAAGATATTTTCTAGGTGTTTTAGCTTAACTTTAAAGATTTCAACATCAGCATTAATATTTTCGACAATATGTTTG